GCTACCGGAAGTGTTGCTGATCGTCCGCGACCTGGTGCACTACCTGTGATAACAGCTCGACAAAACCGCAATATCCGAGTTTCACACCTGCGAAATCGGTTCCAAACAGCTGATGATTAGGCAAGGAGGACAATTGGGACAAGTCAACGTCATTTCAGCGCCCAAAAGGTGCAAGGACGCCTTGCTGCCTTCAACATCCGGTGTCGTCACCCGTACCGTGGTCCAACCTTATTGCATTGCCACAGACTTGCCAGACAGCGATGGGCAGCAAATGGGGCCAATCTTGGCAACAGGACATGGCCAGATGTCATTTTTTCAGATGAATCCAGGTTTAACTTATCCTTTGCAGATGGACGTCAACAGATTTATCGACGTAAAGGAGAAAGACTTGCGCCAAACTGTGTCCTTGAACATGATCGTTTTGGAGGGGGTGGTGTCATGATCAGACCACAGACCATCAGAGGCTGCAGACCATCCAACAGCTGTTCCTGAGAAATGTGTGTCTTTCAATGCCCCAAAGTCTGCGAGCATGTCTTGCAGCGCACGGTGGACACACACGATATTGACTGCAAGTGACCCCTCCTTTGTTTGATATCGTTGTTGCGTCACTGATGTTGTTGTTGACTGGACATTTTTAGATGAAATTATTCACAGATGTTCACTTAAAACATATCTGCCAGTTAGGTTTATATATGTTGAAATTAGTGTGAGTAAAGAAAGTATAAATGTCAAATTGCGTTTTTAATGGCTTACAGTATATTTCTACTTTCATGTGAAGAAAGGTATTGTTTAAATGCACGCTCCATACCCTCCCATAATTCTCCAAGAACGGCCTGTGTACATATGTATCTGTTTTATTTGATCATAATAATGCTGTGCATAAGGGGTGACTTAAATGAATGATCTGTCTGCCTCTTGACGTTACTGAGCTGACATTGGTGTCCAAATTAAATGAGAACCACAGAAAAGACTTTAGTTATGCGCTGACTAACACTAAACGCATGCTGCAAAAATGAACACCCAAAGCAACAATTATGAGTCAGTTTTCAAACATGGGGATCTATCATGAAGTATATGATCTACCATGGATAGCTGGTATACCCGTGTCCATAGACACTTTTACGTCGTATCTTATAAACATTTAGTACTACATTTCCGTATTGGGAGTCAAGTGTTTCTTCAGGTAAGGGGAACCATCCCTGATATAATCTGTCCATTAAAGAACTGAAGAATATCTGTATGTCGTTAATTACCGTAAATATTTAAAACAATCCGACTTTTGTCTTGTTACTGTCCGCGGAAAGGATATGACTCGTAAAATACATTGAGTAACTTTTGTAAAATCATTCTGGAAAAGAATTATATTTGATTATACTATTTATTATTCATATTTTTTCAACACTGCATATGAATACCATTATGTTTTGTACCTGTGTCATAGTGTATTCGTTCTTCTAAATAGAAGCGACAAAACCTGAAAGAAAGTTCAGTTCAATCACAGGAAGATATCTTTGGTAATATCGGTAATACCATTGCTAAGATAACCAACATGTGTATTGGGGTATTATGATAAGGTCGAATCCTAATATAAAGGGTATAACACTTAATGATACAGAACAGAAACTCGGACAATATGCGGACGATACACAGTTATTTCTAGATGGATCTGAAACAAGTCTCAATGTTGCAATTGAAACACTGAATAAATTCCATCAAATGTCTGGACTCAAAATGAACATAAACAAGACAAAAGCTATCTGGATAGGCTCAATGACAGGTAGTAATATAACTTTAGCCAATGACTTTTATCTTGACTGGCACAGTGGAGACTTTGAAATCTTAGGAATAACACTTAATGCTTCTCTTAAAGACCTTTGGGTAACTAACACAAGAAAACGCCTAGAACATATTAATAGATTACTTGCTAGTTGGCGAAGAAGAAACCTGACTCTAATCGGAAAAATCACTGTTATCAAAACTCTAACAATTTCTACTCTAGTACATATTTTCTCAGCACTTCCTAACCCGCCAAAAACATTCATCGATGAACTCAATAAAATAATCTATAGATTCATATGGAACAATAAAAATGATAAGATTAAAAGGTCTAATATCAGTAGAACTTACGAAGATGGAGGCCTCAGAATGATTGACATTGAATGTTTCATTAACGCTACGAAATTATCATTACTGAAATGTAACTTAAAAATAGCATTTTTCCCTTAAGTCAACTGTCCTTTCTAGGTTCTAATGCTGTTGATTGCTTATCTGGCAAAAATAATCCCTATTGGAGAGATGTTTTAGCTGCTTGGAGAATATTTTATAAAAAACACACCTTTGACAGCGATGACTTAGACCAAATCTTAGCTCAGCCACTCTGGTTAATTCATTTCTTTAAATCTTCATACATGATAAGAAATTGGTTTAAGTGCGGTATACATTATGTCAGCGATATTTGTAATGAAAATGGATTTCTCAGTTTTGAAGATGTAAAACAGAGGTACAAAATAAGCGGAACCTTCTTAGACTATCATCATTTGTTAAATAACATTCCAATGAACTGGAGACAACTTGTAGGAAACAGAACTCTCTGCTTAAATCAATTAAACATTAATAGAGTTTACCTAGATATGATCTCAAATATTAAAGGTTCAAGGATATTCTATGATAAATTGATTAAGAACAACGATGCCCCTAAAGTACTAGAGTATTGGAAAACTGTCTTTCAGCAGGATATAATGTGGAGTAATGTATTCAGATATTACAGGAAATGCACAAATGATTGTAAGCTGTTAGATTTTCAGTACATATTTATTTACAGAATAATCTATACAAAGAAAGAACTATTGAAGATGAAGCTAGTTGATAATGATACTTGTACTTTTTGTAAAAATACCTCAGAAGACATATTGCATGTATTTTTTTTACTGTGATTTAGTTAAAAACTTTTGGCGAAATGTAAATCAATTTCTAAATGCCTACCTCCAGTGTGATGTCACATTTACAAAATTCACTATCATGTTTGGAATGTTCTCAAACAATAAAATACTAAACCATATTATACTTTTGCCAAAAGATTCATTTATGTTTCAAGTATAAAACAACAAACACTTTCCCTTGAGGGATTTCTTAAGTTATTAAAAGATATATATACAACTGAAAAATATATATCTAGGAAAAACAATAGCTTAGATCCCTTTATAAGGAAATGGAAACATTTATATACCTTACTATGTGCTAAACATTAAGCTCTACTTATAATATCAGCCCCAGACCCTACTCACTACAACCATACCATTCAACCTTACCCCTCCAATTTCATATTCCCCTCCACAGAAACTTTAATGACATCTTATGTATATATATAATTGTTGTAATCTCACGATGTTATATTTATGAATATGCATTCGTGTATGTATGTGCATATGTATGTATATGTATATATGCATGTGTATATATGTATATGTGTGTGCGTGTGTGTATATGTATGCAATACTGTCTTTTATGTCATATATAACCTTGCAAAACATCACTGAAGCTATATCCATATATATTTGGATGTTGTCCTCTTTGCCATATGTATTTTATGTGAGACTTGAAATGGAATAAAAAAAATAATTAAAAAAACAAACATGTGTATTTACTCATGATTTGTGCGTAACGTTCCTTGTCAGCGTTAATTGGGGTTTTGGTCTCTTAGATCGCCCATCTTTACATACAGTTGGTGATAATAAAACTCTGAACTTTCACCACGTTTTCTAGTATTACACTGTTTATATCTTCCCTGTGCTCGGGCTCACAGCTCAGTGAAATCAATCAATACACAATGCAGACCAAGGACTGAGCCTTCTTGCATTGTGACATTCAGTCTGCTGCCATAAATATTCTGGATCAAATTGAACGAAACAAACACATGCAACTGTACATGTGTTTGGTGCTTGGCGTTATTCTTACCCTATCGCATTCATGTCCAAGCCTACCGATTGCGAGAGGATAACATCTGTTTGATTCAGCATTATTTTTTCTACCCGTTTCCACTCAGAATTCCTGGGAAGATGTATAAGATGACGCTGACGATGACAATCGGAGTTTCAGACTGCTTGACGTGTCTAATTGCGCGTCATATCTCCAAGGGAATTCGAAGTGGATGCTTCTCATAACCAGTGACTGCTAACATACGTCCGTGAAACAGGTGCAAAATATCTGAGAGCAACAAGCATTTGAAACCTAATAGAAATAAACTAGCGCCTTTAAACATGCAACAAAATCGAGTTCTAAATCTTAAATTCGTTCTGTTTGTTATCTAATTATATACTGTATTATCACCATTGTTTAGTTCTTTAAATTTACCTTTTCCATAGATAGGGAAAACATCTCGAATTTCAAACTTCAGCGATATGTGTAATTACAAGGCCGAATTCGAATTACCGCATAGCACACTTGCCATAGCAGCATATCATTACTGTAGAAAATGAAATCATACGCTTGAAACATGGAAAGCAAATCACCTTAGGAATTTAATTCTGTAAAATTAAACGCTTTGGAGCATAAAGCTGTAGTATATTAAAGATGGCCAAAGAATTTCCTGAACAGCTATCCTTTGTGCAGTAAGGTGAAGTGAAACGCTACCCCAAGAATTCACTTAGACTTATTGCACTTCCAGACTGTCGTGCTAGTACTGTTTTATAATCTTGTGCTACAGAGATATCAAACTGCAATTAAACTAGGATATCTCACTCAAACATAGTATATTAACGCCGAACCAGTGCTTGTTTTATTTCGGAGGCCCCTTATTTCGAGCGCTAGGCAGGAGAACAAACACCATAATCTAACGTCTTCTGTCAGGGATCGAACCACCGACCTTCCGCTTCCCAGGTCAACACTTTATCCACAAGGCCATGGTGGCGGAGTTTAGTTCTGTCGCCACATACCCAAGTGGAGGTGTTTAAGATCGTTGTCTTTGAGACAATAAGACACCTACAATACGAGCTACACGAAACAAGGACAACAGATTCATTTATTATGATGTTACAAAGTTGTTTCAGACGATTTTCCTTTTCGATCACAATTCGCAATGGGTCCACGAATACCGGTCAGAACCTCGGTTTGGGAGAGGGAAGCGCGCGCGTGTTGTTGACTCCGCCAATCCTCACGTAGCTGGTCGACGCCGGGCGTTCATAGACGTAGTAGTCGTCGTCATCTGAAACATTAACAGCTGACTGTACCAGTAACAGATGACTGTACCAGTAACAGATGACTGTACATGCCGCGTAACAGATATAGTCATCCGAGTAACGGACACATATGCAGATAGGGTTGACAAAAATTTATGGATGATCAACGTCTTTATTTTTACCGTTATTTTTACCGTTTCGGTACAGCTTCTTATACCGTTTTCAGGCATATGGAATGATGGGTGCACCAGTTTATATACAAGATACATGTACATATGATAATGAGATATAGATAACAATGGTGGGATAACAAAGCATCAAAGAAAGTTACATGATGAGCTACGATAACATGATGACGAGCTAAAATTGATCATCCACAAGTTTGTGTCATCTCTACACCACCAACTTCTAGAATCCCACTCAAACAAAACACATATGCAGCCGTGTATCATACGTACACTGTCTTGTAAATACGTACACTGTCATGTAAATACGTACACTGTCATGTAAATACGTACACTGTCATGAAAAACAATTCTACACCGGATAGACCAATTCCACCAGACAAAGAGCGGATACAAAACGTAAAAACGAAAACAGATGACAAAATATATACTGTACTAAATATGCCAACAGGCGCTGATAAAATCTTACCATATATTGGGTCCTTATCCCGCTTGTTCCTATGAATAGCAAAATTAGAAAAAAGATGTCAGAAATAGGTACAATCGTTAATGGCACACTCTTGTCATTCGTAAATTTATCTACTCCTGATTTTGAACTTGCTAAATATATTAGGTAACTTTAAAAGTTGTTGATATTCATTTCCTAATATATACATTCATAGTTTGTTAATAAAGCCTTAACGTCTACTTCTTTCATCATCTCATTTTTGCCCTTTAATAACTGTCTGCAAAACCAGATGTACCCATCTGTCATGATGCAATTAAATTTATAAAAATGCGAGTAATGCAATCGATTTCATTTTAAACAGAATTTCATTTATTATACCCACCCATATTCATCATAAGGCTCAACTCTCTTTCTTTTACCACTGAAAACACAATTGAAAATTCATCTGATACCCGATAAGGCAATGCAATCAAATTAAAATGACACGTTTATCAGTTTAGGCTGACAACATTTATCACAACTGTCGCCCCGTTATAAACTGCGTGTGTTTAATTTAAGTTAAACAGCGCGTTTTGGTTTACATGGGAACAGTTAAAACCGGACAGTTTTTGTCACCGCAAGGAACAGTAACGATGCATGTTGATCTTAATTGCCATTGTAACTAGGTTCATGGGGAGACTGCAGTCTGCACTGCAATTTTCCGTCCAGAGTTGTCTCCCTTTGCCCTCTGAGGATCCTTTCATCCTTTCATCGTTGTTTTGGATCCCCAATTCCACCTTGTTATACGCTATGGTTTGCACCATCTGTGTTATCGTGGGTTTGAAAAGAGAGCTACATATATCTGAAACTACTGTCGCGTTTGAATTTCATCCCACGCTTAAGCTTACTCTCCGAACTAGACTAGCAACTTGTCTCTGGAATGAGCATATTTTACATAAAAAACAGTTCATAATAAAAACAGAGAATATAATGAAAAGAAACCATGCGAGTTTCTTCATTTCGTGAAACTGGAAATCTAGACTTGCCACATATTCTGCCATATGGTCTGTTGCGGTCTTTCGTCACGGGATTCCTGACTTGACATTATATAGTTATTTCATTTCTGTACATATTGTGATGGGTACAGGTGGAGTGGTTAATGCGTTCTCTCGTCACACGGAAGCTCCGGTTTCGATTCCCCAATGGGTAAAACAACTAAAGCCTTGTGACTACCGCCGTTACATTGCTGGAATACTGTTACAAGCCACGTAATACCAGGCTAACTGACTCATTGTTATGGGATAAGGATTTCGTTGCCATCACACTTACCTCCCTTGTCCGCAGCAGCGACCCGTGGTACACCACCTGTATAGAAAATACAGACCGATCGCCAAGCCAATAAATAGTATAATCATAAAACACGTAAACATCGCCACATTCGCGGGGTCGTCAAAATATCCAGGTGCCTTTGTCGTAGTAGTAGTGGCTGTTGTTGTAGTTGCGGTTGTTGTTGTCGTAGTCGTTGTTGTTGTGGAGGTCGTAGTCACGAAGCTAACGGCGACAGTTCCAGTAGACGACCTTGCTGGACTGCCTCCATCCTTGGCCTCCACCAGAGCAAAGTATGTTGTCCCGTGTAGTGAGGAATCGAAGGTGTTGGTATACCTGACCTCTCCAGAACTGAGGACCGTCACGTATGGAAGAAGTCCTGAAGATCCCCCAACTTGTGAGTACGTAATTGCGTTGTTTGGAGACGTCAAGTCTCCATCTGTAGCTGCGATCGACCCCAGGGATCCAAGCGCTCGACCCTCAGAAATGGAGAAAGCGCTTAGCGTATTTGCAAATGTTGGTGTGTTGTCGTTCTGGTCCAAGATCGTGACCTGAACTTGCGCGGTTCCCGTAGCAGAGTTGGAGTCAACTGCAGCGATGGTCAAAACAGCAGATGTCGGGTAGACACCATTGTCGATGTCGTACTCGGTGTTAAAGCCAAACCGTTTGTTCGCGGCGTCGTACCGGAAGCGTTCACTGTTGTTTCCGGAAAGAAGAAATATGTCCTTTATAGTGTCACTCTCGGGGTCAGTGACTGTAAGGCCAAGGTCACAGAATGATGTATACACCTGAAGAGAGAAATAATGATGTTAGCTGGACCATTGCCCGCACCTTTCAGAAACCAACAGGAATTTCTACAAACTGCCATAGCATCAACGTTATTGGACCGTTCTGTTCTTGAGAATATTTTGTGTAACAAATTTTCCCCATTTGGCAAACACGTTTGTTAGAGGATGGTTAAACAATCAGTATGTACAAACTAGCGGTAGCATGAGAAATAATCCACCTTGCAGGGCACGATGACGCACGATCAGTTCGGTTAACACAGTAGCCGACAGAATGTTCCTGTGGGTTGACACAGGAACAGGTCCTGTTTAATTGGTCACTGGCTCGCAGGTGATCCCACGAAATAGTTACCAATTCCGAAAATCAATCTACACATTGATAGTAAAGGTGTAATGACGGTAAGTGTCAGTGACATGAATTTCGGTCGTGCAGATCAATTGCTGCTCAATATCCAGACTACATCATACCAATAATTCACTACTTTACCTGTTCACTGAGACACTACCGCGGATACATTTTAGAATTTGTACTTATATCAAATACATACACAAAGAACTTAATTAAGCACACCCTGTATATTTGTAATGAAATGGTTTTCAACACGTACATAAAAATTCTCATGGAGTTTTTTTGACCCGTATGACCCTTTGACCCATTACAAATGACAAACTGATTGGAATCCATGTTGATTTTTATGATGATAATTGCTCATTTAAGAAAAAGAACATTGGAATGTTTACTTTTGCATGTATTGGTGAATGTGAACAAATGTCAAGTTGCGTCCCTTACACGATTCAAGGTCAACAGCTAGTGCAACCTGATCTGTTTGATTGGCATAATAGAAGTTGGTGAGCAGTAAGAAAGTAAGATGCTTTATGGATAACAACTTCTATATTAAATATGATGCTACGTTTCGGTATAGATCCGCATGTACCCTAATAGCTTGACAACGGTATATGTATCTATAACGAAACGTCGCATCATATATAATAAAGAAGTTGAAAGTATCTTAAGATGCTTTCCATGTGACTGTATGACAGCCAGCACTCTCTATAACACCCCTGTCAGACTCCTAATTCTCTGAAGTGACACTCTTCGTCATTCCTCGTGTAAAGCAGCTTCCATTTGGGCCAGCTTCTGTACAGAAGGATCCCTTTGTTGCACACGACGACCAGTCATGTCCCAGATATGCTCCAAAGGGTTAAGATCGGGCTCATTCAATCGCCGGATTTGTCAGGAGTGCTTAACTAAGTTCTTTGTGTATGTTAGTGGCAGGTCCGCCATACGCGCGCACACATAAGCTTCTCTGTGAGAACGTGATTAGATGTGTTCAGGTACATACGATGTTGTTCATTTACCCCTCAATGATAGCTACATGTTCAATTCTAAGATGCCTAGCTGTTAGAACAATCGAAAAAAAAATACATTATGAGACAATAAAGGTATAGTTTTTTGATGACGTAACAATTGAATGACGTTATCCCGTCACTGCGCCATTCTAGTGTGCCCCCTCGTAATCGAATTATTTTACATTACGTCACAATGTAAGTGACGTCACGATGCATGTCAGTTGTCATCGCCTCGTACGGCCTCCTACAGTAAACTACTCCGTTGCATCCCGTTTCTTGGTTTGCAGTTGCTTCACGCAGCTAACATCACTGGTGGAAACATTACGTTTATGTTTTACGACGGTTAAAATGTGTCAATTCGACTCACAAGTTTTCAGCGACACGGTAACGTTCGCAATGTTTACATTCCACAATGCAATCGTGGAATGTCGCTTGACTACTCAACTTCCTCTGGATGTACTGATCTAAACTTACGCTGATAGTAGAAATGCAACGTTCATATTGCCCAATATGGTTTACGTTAATGACAGATGTAATTAAAATAATTCAGAAGATATTTAATCCGAACGTAAACCGTCATCAAACTGTTATCATTTGTTTATTCTGGTAACGTTCGTCTTAACGTAGGGGGGCAGACACATCAATAGAACAGCGCACCAGTTAGCCCTGTGCGAGGATTCTTAATTTAGGTCACCGACACCGTCATTTGTTTTCTACCTTAAATTAATCGTAATTATCCTTAGAAAGTATTAAATTTAGCATCTTAGAAAGATGTAAAGTTCGCTCTACCCCAATGTGTTTTGTAATAAAAGTATAGTTTTGCCCTGAACTATTATAACATCAAAGCACTCGGACTACCGTCCTCGTGCTTTAATTATAATAGTTCAGGGCAACTATACTTTTATAAAAATGAACTTTTATAACATTAGTCTCGGACTACCGTCCTCGTGCTTTAATTATAATAGTTCAGGGCAAAACTATACTTTATTAAAAAACACATTGGGGTAGAGCGAACTTTATTTCTTAAATAGTTCTTCCTTATCACATACCTGTGACTCATACATATTGCAGAAATATAAGGCCTCGTTAAATTGTGGCGCTTCGTTGACATTCAGGACAAAGAGGTTGATGTACTGTCCCACAGAGTCAAGGTAGCCGTCGTTCAGTAGGAAGGAGATGTTGTAGTAGCTGATGGTCTCGGCGTCCAAGATGTTCTGACCAGTAGTTGTTGTGGACAGACGGAGGTAGCGCTGAAAGGATAAGCGCGTCTGCTATCTTGGCATATATCATTTATTTCAAACGTCAGCGTTGATTTTCCTTTGCATGTGGACATATTTGCTCAATTTCTACGCAGGTATTTAAAAACAAACAAACTTGAATGTGATGACTTAGCAACGTTAATGGCAACTGATTTGTGGCAGAACTTATAATTTATCTATGTGTGTGAATTTGTGAAGCTCACATGATTGTTCATAGGTAAACTTGTACTGATCTGTTCCAGGGTCAACGGTAACAACAGGGGTCAAGGTTGTATAGATGTCAGGGTCAGTGGTTGTCAGTCGTATGAGTCTCTCCCCACCAGCCGCCGTCTCGTAGATGGTGATGTTGATTGGGAGATTTGTAAATGCGGGTCTTGTGTTCAAATCTGAAAAAGCAATATTGATTATCGACATTGAAAATTGTTTGTCATCAGAAACACTGAAATCTGTTATCCTCATGGGCACTAGCCAACTTATCAATGTGGATAATTTATTATCGTCTTTTGCGTGGTATCCTGAGTGTTAATACAAGGTGGGTATGCTGAACAACGGGGAGAGTTCTATGGATATACAACTTTGGTATTATTAATGTGAGCCGCCTAAGGCTGTCACGTATCCATAACTTCTTTGAGTGGCATTTCAATCCATGGAACTCATCAAACCAACTTCCAACCGCCACTCGGGGCAGTGGGGTAGTCTAGTGGTTAAGGCGTTCGCTCGTCACGCCGAAGACCCGGGTTCGATTTCCACATTGGCACATTGTGTGAAGCCCTTTTCCTGGTGTCCCCCGCTGTGATATTAATGACTCTCTTAAGGTAGCCAAATGCCTCGTCATCTAATTAGTGACGCGCATGAATGGATTAACGAGATTCCCACTGTCCCTATCTAAAAGGGCGTCAAACTAAACTCACTCACTCACTCCAACCGCCACTCAAAGAAGTGTACATACTGGACACAGTCGCACAACTTACTGGTGATGGTGGTGGTGATGGTGAAAGGTCCAACGATGTTAGTTCCGTCACTGATGTTGACTTTTATAGCCACGACAGGCTCCACGGCGGTTTTTAAATCTTTTGCAGTAGAAATGACCCCGGTGTCTGAAAAATGTACGACATGATAATCATATTCAAAGAGAGCAATGCATTAACGACACAATGTCACGCCCCCACACTTCTCTAGAAACAAAATAAATTAAATACATTTCTCACAATACTAACTATCAGCCGTCAGAGAAGCTACTATACAATTTATTCCAAAAAAGAATTACGTATTTAGATTACAATATTCAATTAAAAGTTGGAATGAATTAATGCAACGTTGCATTAAATCGACTCTCATGCCTTCTACCGGCCGAACATTATTTTAAGCGAACCCCATAGAGTTATGTTCCTTGGAACGCTCTTTACAAATATCCTACGCACAACTTGTGATTGAAACCAGTTCGGCAAACAAACAACACCGCGTGCGACAGTTTTCGATGTACTGAGTACATCCCATATATGGCAAGTGTTCCCAGTTTGGAAGGGTTGTTCGCCTCGAAGTTTCAATTATCGATTTCAGGCAAGTCGAAAGGGATAATAAGTCTTTTATTGCATCAATAGGACGCTAAAGTGAGTGCGTATGACCCAATATGTATAATATAGACCAAAATATTGTCGAAAACGTATGACATGGTGCCTTTTAATGCCGAAGCGCTGAGAGTTCCAAATTGTTTGTTTACCGATGACCCTTTACCCGTTGAACCCAACATTTTTCATGAGATCAAATCATCTAATTTTGACTACAAACTCGTCTCCTGTACATTTAAAAAGACATTTCTACCCGTGAATACACTACGTAGGTATATGATACCTTGGAGACTTCAGTCCGATAAAAGAAGGTCACATGTATCGAGGGCAGGGAAGGCCCGGTTGCCTAAGACTCTGCAATTGGCTGCAAAGAGCCGCGACATTTGGGACGCCAGAAAACAGTGATAGTGAGGTCGAGTCCCGATTATATGTCAAGATTTGCCAGCACCATACCGTGTTCATTACTTCGGTCTTTCCCCTCACATAGAACTGGAATATTGTTAACATTGCGTTGACCCCAACTCACTCACTCACTCACTCACTTGTATCAATCTGAAAGTAGTCCACTGTGGGCTCTGTATACATGGTGTAGGTGAGCGGGTCACTCTCGTTGTCCCGAACCAGCAGGGTGTAGATAGTTGTGTCCACTGCCGTGTTGCTTGCATCAAGAGTTCGCGACACTAGAAACATTTGGAACTAGATTTGGAACATGACATTGTGTAGGATTAATCTTGATACCAATAGACCTTTCAGACAGCAAGGCAAGGTTTCTGTAATGATAAGTTTAAGTTTTCGAACAAGCACTGAAAGCAGTGTAGTCATGGATCTGCACATCCAACTTCAGCCAACGCAGATATAACTTCTCCCAATACGGTCAAGGTGTCGGATTAATTTAACATGAATAACAAGGGACCTGGGATAATGGAGGGTCTGCTCACCTCCAGGGAAGTCTGTGATGTAGGGTGCCTGGTTAGGCTGAATGTCCACCTCCAGAGTCTGCGTGTCCGTGCTGCCATCTGCTGCCACACACTGGATGTCCAGGAAGTACGACTTGGCGATGTTGCGGTAGCTGAGTGCGCTGTTGGCCTGCCCTGCTACGTAGTACACGTTGAACTCTAAACACATGAAAAGGTAACGTCACATTAAAACAAGTAACTCTGGAAAACCATCTTCCTTGTGATACGTGTTGGAAAAGACTTTATGAATTAAGTATAGATTTCTACCTCACCGTTAATTGGCATGGCTATTCACTGTGACCGATACCTCTACATTATAAATGTAACAATGTATTTTTGCAATATGCATAAAACTTGCCATTAGATTAAGTAGGGCTGGTGTTAACATAGTACTTTAGATATATTTCACTTGGAGGACGTTGGCCCCCGACGTCTGAAGTCGCTGTGTAGAGATGTGGAGTTTGCTGGAAACCTTCAATTGTGGGCTCGAATTCCGGTTCGTCTTGAGTATGTATCTAGAAAGTGGTATGCCGCCTGTTTCTTCTATACTGTCTTCCTATATAGGGACGGTGGGGTAGCCTAGTGGTTAAAACGTTCGCTCGTCACGCCAAAGGCCCGGGCTCGATTCCCCATATGGGTACAATGTGTGAAACCCATTTCTGGCGTCCCCCGCCGTGATATTGCTGGAATATTGCTGAAAGCGGTGTAAACCTAAACTGTCTCACTCACTCACTCCTACATCAAACTGGCATGTAGCTGAAATACTCCCCACTTTTATATGTTCCTGTACGCTGTGCAGAACCTTGTCAGTGTATCCCGCGGGTATGACATAGTGGTTTGAGGTGCTGCTGTTCACAATTCCATCCCTAAGTCATAACAGGATCCGCTAAAATCGACAGCACATTTTACTGAAAACTAAATATAATGACCTGAGAAAGTATACTTCTTCCAGCACCGGAAGGGCGCCCCTGACGGCTGCTCACGTACAATGTTGCAGGTTGTGCACGTCCCTGATCCTCCAACGCTGTTATCGGTACACGTCACAGTGGTCAGTAGTGTCTCGATCTGCGTGTCCTCGTGGAGGTTGACCACGACGAAGGGGGAGATAACCGGGTTAGGAGCAGGCGTCGTTGCCTTAATATGTATCAAAGTAGGGAATATTGTGCAGACTTAATGTTTCAATACATTGGGTATTGTATCTTGGCTAAAAAAGCATGCACTTGAATATTGGATTTGACCAGGAAATACAAACGTTACCCACTCATTATCAATCGAATTACCATAATAATAATAATAATAATTGTTTACTTTCAACCACCATCACACATGGGTGTATACTTTTGTTTGCCCGACAATGAATAATACAAAGAAATCAAAGTTAAAAAGCTCACTAAACTCACTATTGGTATAATACAACACCATAATGTAAAACATTGTAAAAGATTTTACTGGCATGAAAAACAGCCTGAAATGTTATCTTTTCGACTACCCTGAACCTAATACCAAAGAATGTCAGTGGGCACAGACGCTGCTAAAATATTCAATACATATACACGGCAGTTTGACGGTGATCTGTTATCTTTGTCTAGTCCTGTCTTTGATGGATGGCCAAACATTATCCGCTACATTAGTGTCTAATAACTGAGCCTATTGGCATCGTTTTGATACCATACGAACAGTTTTAGCATACAAGTAAGTAGGTACATTTCTAAACTATAACATTAATCTCATATATATTGAAACGAACAGGTGCATTCAATCTCATGTCAGTCATACTATGATCATGACTTCTTAATAGCATTGGGGCGTTGGGGTAGCCTAATGGTTAAAGCGTTGGCTCGTCACGCCGAAGACCTCGGTTCGATTCCCCACATGGGCACAATGTGTGAAGCCCATTTCTGGTGTCCCCCGTCGTGATATTGCTGGAATATTGCTAAAAGCGACGTAAAACCCAACTCACTCACTCTTAATAGCATTGCTACACGTATCTCGAACTGTCAGGCCTCATGGTATGCATATTGGACAAGCCTTTACGACTTTGTTTTTCACACTAATTCGCATAAACATTACAACTAACCCAAACGTAGGTTATCAAGCCTGACAGGATATATGATTCTTCATACGTGAGTGAGTGAGTTTACTTTTACACCACTTTTAGCAATATTCCAGGAATATCACGACGACACCAGAGAGGACCTTGACATCTTCATACGTGGTCATTAGAACTAATGCATGAGAGTCATAATATCAATTTGTACTTACCGCATCTACTCTTGAAACTACAAAGACACCGACAAAAAGAACTTGAAAAAAGTAAAAATATCCATATTAGTTTGGGAAGTTTAGAAGGGACTTGATATCCAACGTAGCGTTATCCAGCACATATATAGGCGTCTTCTTTGAGGATTGGACACCACATGTAAAAATCCTGCATAAGTTAAACAATCACCCTACACGTGTAGTGTGTCGAGCTCGAGAGGATCTAGTCCCCTGGTCTGGGCACATATCAATCAGAGACTAACATCGATGTGTTCAGTACAAGTATGTCGGACTAGTGTAAACACGCTACCTTTTCACAGGAATCAAACAAACTTTTCTTTAAAGCCAATAGAATAGGTCAACATCCCATTTAGATATGTCCACCCAATGATCAAGCGACATATACATGTTTGACGTACAACTGTCAACACAACAGCAATGGGGTGGCGTTAATGTATGGCGACAGAAGCTGGGGTAAACCTTTGTTTATTTTGTCAATATAACGCTTTATTAAGATAGTACTGGGCCTCGTTGGGATTACAGAGCAAACACTGGCTTCTGTTTATATGAATAATGGAAAATACTTTGGAAGGGTGAACTCGCAGTTAAAATCAATACGTTCAATACACGAGTGTTGGGTTGCTCTCATTAGTTTCCATATACAGCGAGTACACAAAGACATTTACTATTTAAAGAACGTAAAACGATTTTCAAACTAGTGAGAATTTTTCCAGCTCTTAACTACTATATTGTGACTGGAACGATGTAAATAATATGATATTCTTTCATGTAACATATCAGACATATGCAAGCCTATCGTAATGACATTTTTATGTTATTAACTGTGCATACCTCACGTGTTATGGTACGTTTCGCCAGATGAAGGAATAAACGGCACTGGGAAAATATATTAACATATGTTCTGTTTATGCATTTATTGAATAGAATGCCAGGTTAGGCAACGTGTATCTTGGTGATTTTGCAAACAATGGGTGTAGCTTCACTGGGAAATGCTACATTAATTTTGTTTATGCATTCGCTTTGATCTGGGGCCTGTGGGTTAGCCTAGTGGTTAAAGCGCTCGTCCCGGGTTCGATTCCCCACATGGGTACAATGTGTGAAGTCCATTTCTAGTGGCCCCCGCCGTGATATTGTTGGAATATTGCTAAAAGCAGTATAAAACTCAACTCACTCACTCACTGTGGTCTGTTCAACAGGATGTGTTCTTTTATTGAATGATGTTTATTTTTCAATTGTATGTAAATATGTCTAGAAGCTGAACACCTACACAAGGAGGTGGTGATGCCAAACTCACCTTGTAACTCGCCTTGTAACTCACCTTGTAACTCGCCTTGTAACTCACCTTGTAACTCACCTTGTAACTCGCCTTGTAACTCACCTTGTAACTCACCTTGTAACTCGCCTTGTAACTCGCCTTTAACTCGCCTTGTAACTCACCTTGTAACTCACCTTTTAACTCACCTTACACGGAATCATTGTTTGTTCATTTTGTGTTGTGGTTGAATGACGTCACACCACTACACCATGCATTGCATGATAGACAGAGTGGAATTTAGATGTCATGTATCAGTGATGCTGGTGAAGTTTTCAATGACGGTCATCTGCAGAATGAATCATAAAAGGATGGCATGTATTTTATCGCATTAAAAATCCCGCAAGTTCGTCAAACACCTCCAAACAAATATTCCCTAGGTTTCAGATACATAAAGTGATACCACCCTTTCCATGAGCATAGTAAATATCTTCTTAAAGTAGAGCTGATTCTAACGATATCACACGCATGCGCTGACCTGTGATGATACCGGGTATTTGGGAAGAGGTATCCTGCCGGTGACAGTACCCGTGACAGATACATGCCAAGACAAATCAATATCATCCTATAAAAGATCTTTAATATTTATACACACTTTTATACCAGGGGGCATTATTTGTCTGATCAGTCCTATTTTGTTTTCCTGTTCTTATCTGAAATACTCATAGTTCAACGTCTCCCTCAAACCTGTATGAACGTTCAGTGTGTTTGTTGGACCTACTGGACAGCAGATGAACCTCAAATTGTAAATGCAAGACATTCACACTCTGCTTGCAGTTAGCTATTTGTGTGTTCTTTACACAGATTTTGGTATCATGTTAATTTCATTTCAAATCAGAGATTACAACCGTTTTAACGGAAGGTATTATATGGTGTGAGTTTCGCTAACACCTGGTGGCATCTTTGACTTTCACTGCAGTATTTGTTTTGGTTGATAACCAATCTTGGTTATTCTCTGTTTGCTGTTTCATTTTGCCCGAATACACATTCAAACAAGAATACGCTAATTTGGTCTGTCTTAAGAAGTCGTTTGTTATAGAAAGAAAGTTTGATTGATTTTTGTGCGTGTTTTTGCATAGGAGAATGACAAATTATTGAAATCATATCCCTCGTGTCTTCATGAGTACAATTTCTATTCTGGTATCAGTCAACTGTACTTTCACATTTGCTTAAGTCTATATGAGGATATGGATGTACTTTTTCCATCTATAGAGGATTTGAGGTAGCCTAGAGCTTAAAGCTTTCCCTAGCCACGCCGAAAGACAGGATGCGATTCCCCACATGGGTACAATGCGTGAAACCCGTTCTGGCTGCCCAGGGTTGATATTGCCGGAATATTGCTAATAGCGCTTCAAAGCTCATACACTTAAATCGAGTAAGGTTTGGTATAATCGCTACCTGCATTCAGTGACATTAAGACAAGTCGTTGTGAATTTCAGTCCTCGCTGATAAATTATTAACCAAGTACGACTAGGCTACATATAAGCATTTATAAACTTCACACATAAGTCCTTACTAAAATCATTTATGTTTGTACCGTTCAGGGTGTTCTTAATTGTCTCACAGTAACGAAAAGCAGTGACACGTTTTTGTGAGTTGACATTGGAGAAGAATTATGAAATTCATCAGTGTGTTTATCTGTTATTGCACCATACGATTCACGAGAAATGAGAAATTTGCATATTCAATTTGCTCAGATGTTTGATCAAGGTTACAGCATATATAGAAGATGTATGCCTTCAAAGTATCTTATGATTGACATATTGAGAACATTCCAAATTTGGACTAACATGACAAAATGGAGGTTTTTTTCGTTTGAATTGACTAGCCCTGACATGTGTTTGTGACGGGTAACAATGGTGGGGCATGATACATGCACTTGGTATCGTCACTATTTCACAGTGGCTCATAAACACGTGTTCATGGTACGGTGCGATACAGCTGACTGTTCTTCTCAGCGATTTCTCCTGGAAATGGGAAGGATTTCGTCGTGTTTATTGCTCGTGTAGTTCATATTTCATGAACTGCCGCATACATAATTCATACGAAGCCATCTTTCGGTAATGAATGATGTGGCGGTGAATTCTGTTTCGTCTCACGTTTCATGTCTTGACATGTCAAGTGTAGAAAGTTCTGAAAACTGTTAACCTGAGACTTGACATTACCCCTTATCTTACTAGACATGACAAGACGGTTTTTCATGGCTATCCGATAACAACAATAATGCAATAAACAAGTCAGAACTGATACGGAAATAATAGGACACACTCAGGTTAAATACATCAGACACAAAAAGAAACTGTACATGAGAACATAGGAACTCAACACATATATATCTTGGGGAGCGATATGTTCAAGACTGTGTCAAGGCGAGGAATCACTTTTGGGTGGTTCCATGATGATTTGGGGAGATATTCAGGGCACTTTGACTTGCATGGGCTACAGAGATCAGGTTCATGAACCGGTGGCAATTCCATGTCCAGCTCCACGCCATAGCCCAGTACTGACATTCCAACATGGTAATGTCCGTCCTTACACGGATGGGGTTGCTTTGGCTTTTCTTCAACAACACAGCGTTCAAGTTCTGACCTTCAGATTGCCCGCATTTTCCTCTATAGATCATATGTGGGATGACATACAGTGAAGATCCGTGAAGATCCGGGTTAAAATTGATCTTCAGTAACTCATGAAGAGGTCACTAACGGGATCGGGTGGTCAAGCTCGCTGACTTGGTTGATCCCATGTCATCGTATCCCAGTTGCGTAGATTGATGCTCATGCTGTTGATCACTCGATTGTCTGATCGAAATTTGATTATTTGTGGTGGCTGTGTGGTCCTGTGCACAGAGCTCAGGTCACGAATCAGTTGACGTTAAGCAACGTCGAGCTCGGACAGTCCTTGGATGGGTGACCGTGTTTAGCAGCTTGACTCCTGAGAGTTTCTAGGACTGCAGTCCTGCCCCAAAACGAAGCACATGTGACACATGTGGTCTCACCTTAGGCAAGTGAGTTTGTTCAAACTTGCCTCTGTTCACCCAGCAGAAAATGGGTACCCGGTTGGATAAAGTCATGTGACTATAACCTTCTAGCGCCTAACAGGCAGCTTGGGTTATCCCGGGTAATAACAATCAGATTCTGATTAAGCGCCGCGAGCAATCACTTGGTGTTTGGAGACTGTGCGCTATAGAAGATGACTTATTATTATTATTATTTACAGATCGCCTCCATATAGCTGGAATAGCTGAGTGCGGCGTAAAACTAAACTCACTGACTTACTCACTCAATCTACCGTGTACCAAATCCGCCGCATAACGTTCGTAACTTGGCAGCAAATGTATACACAAACATACAGACAGACAGTCCTACAGACAGGTACATAGGTAGGTGTCATGATACACCAACACACGCACATTATTTACAGACCCCCGCCATATAGCTGGAATATTGCTGAGTACGGCGTAAAACTAAACTCACTCACTCAACACACGCACACACGCACACACGTGTCTTTACTCAACGTCAGGGTATAGCTGTGACGGTCGTCATACAGTACATTTATAACTCTGTATAGCTCTGTATGGTGGCAATTGATAGCCAACAGTCCTCATGCATTTAGCAATAATATTTGTGTTGTTAACGTAAACTTTACATACACTGGCGTTGCTGAACAAATACACGATAATGAGAAATTGAGCCAAGCCCGTTCACGAGAAAGGACTGTGTAAATAAGGATAGTCGAAGGAATAGACCGTCTCCTATGCTGATTTGATTACTATAATAGTCCAAGCTTGAGAACTGTTCAGTATTCTATAGTTAAATGATGTTAACTCTATTCTAGCAACATTTTCTGCTTGTATGGCCTGATGACTGCTGATGACGACGTCATGGGCGGGATAGATCTATGATCCCCTATTTTATTTCGAACAATGCACCTTCAGCAAGTATGACGACATTCAAGAAGGTTCAGCACCTGCTACTGCTGCTTGGATGTGTGCTGTTTTGGATATGTACACAAGTTAGTGATGGGGTAAGTTGAATTCCTTCCACAACACACAAATAGGACCAACAAAACCTTTCCAACATTCATAAGAAATCTCGATAGTACAATGGTGACTATATAATGAACAATATTTGTTTCGGTAGTATAACAACTGTAGGATGTTGTTTGTAAACAAATCGAGTCTGGACCAGACAATCCAGTGATTGTCGCATAACGAAAAAGGCTTGTACCTAAACACTGATGCAAGGTGTTTATGTAAATTGATGTCTATACAAATGAATATTCATGTCAATCGATGTGCATGTAAATCGATGTTTATGTGAAGTGTTGTTTATTTAACGTGACGCTTTAGCAGACTGTCTCTCACTGTCTCATAGTATGATGAATATTGGATAATTTATGCCATTGTAATTTCATAACAATTAATTTGTTTGATCGAATCTTTAGTTAAGGGGTGTATACTTCTGGTACATTCCTCAGATAATGCAGCTCCTGGCGTCAGTGGTGGAATGAATACTGTATGAGTCCACAGCCAGCAATGTCAGGTCACATAACACGTGTACACTTCTGATCAAGGCTGCAATTGAAACAAACCAAAAATCGTTATTACATGGTGACGTTTTCTGTGACGCTATCACATTTGTTGTTGGACCCAGAGTGTTGCAGCGACTGTCTTCAACCTAGTAATGTAACGCCAAATCTAATTGTTCAAGTGTATACTTGTTATTACCTGCAGTGTTAATCGAATAACATCTGCACATACCACTGGCTAACAAAGAAGCAACGATCATGTCATTGAGGACGAGATGACACGCCAACAATCACAGAACCTGAATACCTGATAGTCCCTTGAGTTTAAGATAACGCATGACATATTGGATGCCTATCTAATAACCCATAGGGGAAAACACATCAAAGAATGATTGCAAGATTTCATACAGTTGTGTTTCTTGCAGAACCCATATAAATCAACTTTCTGTCTACCTACTCCTGTTCTTAGATAATGGTGACATACTTCAATTAATAGTTTATAAATGTGAAAAAATATTATTTAAAATAGAAATTTCGGAATCACAACATAGTGTCTTGCACATCAGCAGTATTGTAAGCTCATCACAGGCGTCTTTCGGTCGTAAGTGTATGGTATATAATATTGCTAAAACAATAAAAGCACGAACCTGTTCTGGAATATTTCATACATAATCTATCAATTGAAACAAGTTACTTTTCTTGTTGATTATGAATTTGTAGTGAAATAAACAGTACCAGTGAACAACTTTCACACTTTCACTTTCTGCAGTGCCTAAGATGTAAATTTTCTGTGTGGGTCGAATCTACATCACTTTGTGGTATCTCGTTTGGTTAGGTTTGGTATGTAATGTACCCTTGAAGATCCGGGTTAGAATTGGTATGCAACAACCCATGCCTGTCGTAAGAGGCGACTAATCGGATCGGCAGGTCAGGCTCGCTTACTTGGTTGGCACATGTCATCGTATCCCAATTGCTTAGATCGATGCTCATAATGTCAGTAACTGGATTGCCTGGTGCAGACTCGATTATTTACAAAAAGCCGTCATATAGCTGGAATATTGCCGCATTAAACAACAAACATCACATAACCTGCATCCGTGATGATGCTCTAAGTATTACTTTCCTCCACAGGCTACCACCCCTCCCCCTATAGTGATGACGGACTTTCAGGTGACCAACATCCACGAAGACAACCAGATTGAGGTGGACATCGCCACCGTTGGGTGTTCCGACACCCTCAGCGGGGATGGCACGTGTCCCGTCTGCAACATCAAATCGATGTTTCCCCAAGGTGGCCCGTTCCGTGTGTGGCGGAAATACGGGAATCTAGGTGTGTCTGAGGTGAAATGTCCCCAAAGTCATCTGACACGTTCTACCACAGGGGTTGCATAGTGTTTGCTGAGCGTTTCAACAGTGTATTTCTGCACATTATATTACCTATTTATTAAATTGCTCATATGCAACTTTACCGCTGTATACGGCCGCTGGCGATGTGAGGTGACATAGGGTTGAATGCCGCGGTCTGGTCTACTGTAATTATATAACGACTTATATAGTCCCTTTGTGTGGTTGTTTTTACTAGTCGAAGAATATGCTTATTTTGTAGAGCTAGCCCATTAAGATAGCATGACACAGTTAACACGGATACACATTTCAGACAAGGATAACTGGCCCTTGTTTTAGCAGCCAAGAGGTGAAAGTGTTCGCTTGTCACGCCGGTCGCAAGACCCTGATTGATTCCGCACATGGATACAATGTGTGAAGCTCATTTCTGTGTCCCCGCCTTGATATTGCTGGAATCTTGATAAAAGTGACGTAAAACTTAAAGTCACTCACTCATTCACCTTAATGGCGTTCATTGTATACGGGTTACAATGTCAGTGTCAATGACGTAAGTAGTTATTGTCGAACAACGTAAGTACATGTAGTAATGGCAACTAGGGGAATATGTGCCGATATGAACTGACAACCCGAGCTTGTAAAACAGTCCTTGTTTATCTACTTCAGACTTCCACGTCTATTACGTTGGCGGGTACGCCACCGATGGCCTCGACTACAACGTGGCACGCACCTACAACATCACCATTGAGTGTACATCAACTGACGAATTGACAACCGTCACGAAGGTATTGGAAGTTGACGTGCAGCCGAACCAACCGCCCTTTGTATTTGACAGCCCAGGGGGTATGTTTAACACTCGATCACAAGACGATATGTTTGGAGCAAATAATTTGAATATTACGACAGATGATTATAAATGCACGTATAAATGATGTCAACCATGTCTTCTATGCGTTTCACGTCTATGACTACGATGTGTGTCAAGGATGCAGTGCACTACTTTGCCCTCGATAGGTACTACACTGAGGATATGACACATTGTGTCAAAGATTCAGCTCACTACTACACTGAGGATATGACACATTGTGTCAAAGATTAAGCTCAGTACTATGTCTACGACGTGAGTCACAGTTGAAGCTCATATCTGTGTCAACGATATATGTTCACTTCTCTGCTTGCGACGTATTTGTTGATTCCTCCTCCTATGAAACGTATCCTTCATCCAGCTGTGATGTACCTTCATCACTCGAGCTGTTTCTATCTTCAGTAACTCTGACATACGACGCTCAAGTGGATACGGGCGTAGGCTGGACTGTGTACGACATCAACGTGAGAGACAATGAGTCCGACCCCATCACGTACATCTGGAGCACTGAACCCGTCGTGGATTACTTCGACATCGGGCAGAGTGAGTGCACAACGTAATCACATAGATCATGCATCGTTGATCTGGTGACAATGTCCTAAACATATAGCCACGTTCAATGTGCTGGGCAAATAAAGGCAAACAGAGAACAAACAAACACGCCACCCTTTGGGTAGAACCAAAAAAGAAGAAATTCACTCATTTTAAGCATGGTTGTTATAACCTTACTTAACACTCACTAACACAGATATACTGCTAGTATATCCATGTATGTATTGCAGTGTCTGTTATATTGCCTTACCCGTGAAGGTCGGGGATAGAATTGAACTTCAGTAACCCATGCTTGTCGTAAGAGGCGACTAACAGGATCGGATGGTCACACTCGCTGACTTGGCTGACACATGTCATCGGTTCCCAATTGCGCAGATCGATGCTCATGCTGTTGATCACTGGATTGTCTGGTCCAGACTCGAGTATTTACAGACCGCCACCATATAGCTGAAATAGTGCTGACTGCGGCGTAAAACTTAACTCACTCGCTGTTATTACCAATAGATGCCCGGGTACAGGTATAAGGTTAGAGGCTAATGAAGAGAAGCTAATGTTAATTTCTAAACATTAATATTTTTATATGTTAAGTGTGTATTTTGCTTGCCTTGTGATCAGCTGCCTATTTTGGTGGAAAAATGCATAGACACAGTGTATGACATTGACATGAAAATATGTTACATCTCTGGCTGTGTACTCACTCACTCACTCTTCTGTCAGGTGACGGCATCATTAAAGTCGTAAAAGATCTCAGGACGGCCGTTGTGGATGTCGTAGCAATAAAGGTCAACGTCTCAGATGGCCATAACGTCGTTGGTCCATTCACTGTCAACGTACAACTCACAAGTAAGTTCCGGTTATGAAGTACGTCTATTCGTGCCCCTACATGCATATTGATAAGGGTGATTAATAGGTATTTGTAGATTTACATCTCAAAACTACCATGCCTATGCAACGGCATTGAAAGTTATTCAAAAGCATATGAACACCATATAAAATGTGTTTAGAAGCTATATATCCTATATAACATGATTTCGTATGTTGTTTTCTGAAGCCCAAACTAGGCCTGAAATGTATCTTAAGTTGTCTATGATGTCGATATATTTTTCATAGATCTGAACTCTCGCCCTGTATTCACAAATCTTCCTACCAATGTGTCCGTGTATGAAGATCTGACCGGGGGTTCCAGTATCTACACAATTTCCTACGTGGATTACGACCTTTATTCGACCTTGACCCCTGTCTGCTCCGTCACCCCGGACAACGAAAACTACAAATTTGTCTATCTCACTGGAGGTGCGTATAATTTTCCCCATCATATTTCACTGTAAAGCACATGTGTTATGAGGCATAATCGTAATACCACATGACATACAACTGTGATATAGCAAGTGTTATATGACATGGTGGCAACACCACATGTGTAATATACCATGATGGCAATATAACATGTGTAATAGAGCATGATGACAATACCACATGTGTAATATAGCATGATGGCAATGCCACATGTGTAATATAGCATGATGACAGTACCACATGTGTCATATAGCATGATGGAAACATGACATGTGTAATAGAGCGTGATGACAATACCACATGTGGAATATACCATTATGGCAATACCACATGTGTAATAGAGCATGATGACAATACCACATGTGTAATATAGCATGATGGCAATGCCACATGTGTAATATAGCATGATGACAATACCACATGTGTCATATAGCATGATGGAAACATGGCATGTGTAATAGAGCATGATGACAATACCACATGTGGAATATACCATTATGGCAATATAACATGTGTAATATAGCATGATGACAATACCACATGTGTCATATAGCATGATGGAAACATGACATATGTAATAGAGCATGATGACAATACCACATGTGTAATATAGCATGATGGCAACACCACATGTGTAATATAGCATGATGGCAACACCACATGTGTAATATAGCATGATGGCAACACCACATGTGTAATGGAGCATGATGGCAACACCACATGTGTAATATAGCATGATGGCAACACCACATGTGTAATATAGCATGATGGCAACACCGCACGTGTAATATAGTATGATGGCAACACCACATGTGTAATATAGCATGATGGCAATACCACATGTGTAATATAGCATGATGACAATATCACATGTGTAATATAGCATGATGGAAATAACACATGTGTACTATGGCATGATGGAAATAACACATGTGTATTATAGCATGATGGACATGGTACATGTGTATTATGGCATGATGACAATACCACCTGTGTGATATGGCTTGATGACAATACCACATGTGTAATATAGCATGATGACAATACCACATGTAGCATGAAGGAAATAACGTAAATGTAAAATAGCTTGCTCTATACAACCGTTCAAGATACAGCTTGTACAGAGGTATTAGGAGCCTTATTCTACCATACGACTACCTGGCTGTATTAACATCAAGACACCAGACACCAATTAATTCATGTAGTTTGTGGTTGTGTGGGTGTGAGTGTGAGTTGGTGAGTATGTGTGTGTGGGTGGGGGTTGGGGGTGGGGGCTAACTTCTGTGTAATTGTCTGTGCCAACGTAATTCCTGCAGCTAAACGGATACAGTTGGCATCACTGACAACAGAAGGCAACCTGCTGGATTTCGAGACGACAACATACTACAACATCTCCTGCCTCATCAACGACGGCTACCTCGACTCCGTCGGTGGATATATAAACCTGTTCGTACTAAATGTAAACGAGCCACCAGAATTCAACGATCGAGTGTACTACTGCATAATGAATGAAAATTATGTACGTATAAAGGCTCACTGACCATGGATAAGACGAACTTATAAATTCACGAGACATTTTGTGTTTTAATCGCCGGAATTAAATCAATCAATGTTTGGTTATCTGCTTATAAATTCATTAACCATAATATTGTGGCTTGTAATGAGTCTGAAAATAGGCTACATCACTCGTTCTTCCATTTGAGAGTATTGTCCGTAATTTGCCTCAAGGTTGAGGTAAAATGTCATGTCTTTAAGGTCTGGAACTAATGGTTTTAGTGATAAACACACAGTTTGGAATTCATATTAAAGCATACTTTTGAGAATTGGATTTCACCCAAAACTTAAGCTTACAAACGTAAATAACCATTACTGCGAAAACACGTCACCGAAACAATACAAACGTAATGTCCAAAACTATTAGTGATCGAGTGAGTGAGTTGGGTTTAATGCCGCTTTAGGCAACGTTTCAGCTAGATCAAGGAGAGGGAATCCACGTGTACCCATGGAAAATCAAACCCGGGCCTTCCGCGCACGAGCTGGGCTACCCTACACACACAACCCCTCCTTCTCCCCCCCTCCTTCCCCAACCAGCCCCTCCAACACACACACACACACACTCACCTCACGACCTCCACACCCCCTCTCTTGTTTGGTTGGGTTTTAGCCTCCATCTGACATTGCCGTAAACATTCACTTGCCCGAAAGTTCTGACCGTGACATTACGAAATCCATCTTTTTATATAAACTGTAAAGAGAACTTTCATGTTTCCAACATTGGTGATACTTTACATCCACATGAACTTGAGAATATTTCCTCTTCAGCAAAGCGTTGGTGCGTGTGATTTGAGCGGACTGACAGTGTCGGACCCGGAAGGCGATACAATCATTGACTACAAGCTGTTACCTGGCAACAACAGCGAACGCTTCCAGTACGACAACGCAAAGAAACAACTGGCCTTTAATGTAGACTACGACGTAGATACGGCAGCAATGCCAACCAGCGTCTTCCTCACCCTAGCTGCCGTTGACGACCAATCGGCGACAGGTACTGCACAGATTCAAATCAACGTTATAGACGTCAACGACAACACCCCTTCTTTCGCCTCGAGTGTCAACGCCTTCACCGTTACGCAAGGACAAGCCGTAGGTGCGATCGGAAGGATTACCGTTACAGACGCTGATCTTACGTCACCAAACAACGACGTTACATTCTCCGTGACCGGCGGCACTTTCTCCAACTACGTCTCCGTCCTTGGCAATGGACAGGTTATCTATGCTAACGAGTTCGACGCCTCGTATTCCGGCAGGAGTGAGTTGGTATACGTTGAAGCAAAAGATGGCGGTAGTCCTGCGTTGTCGACAACAGCCACAGTTATCGTCTCTTTTCAGACTACAACTACGACAACTACAACTACTACTACAACTTCCACCCCTACCACCACCCCAACCACAACAACCACTACACCTAAACCAGGGTTCTTTGATTACACTGAAAACATCGTGTTGTTTTGTTTCCTAATGTTTCTGCTGCTGCTTCTGGTGTTGGCGGCGCTCTATTTTCTCTACCGCTATTGCACCATGGGATCATGTTTTGGGGCGCCCTCTGGTCCCGCCGGAGCAAGCAAGGGTACCTCATTCTGTCCATCGTTAAGTGAAGGAGGAGGGTGTGATGACTGTTTCAGACCAAGGTAGGATGGATTGTAAATTGGGAATTATCTTGAAGAACAAATGAGTATTGTAAAAGTTTTGTATTGTGGTGGTGTGTGGTCCTGTGCGTAGAGCTCAGGTCACAATCAGTAGAAGTTAAGCAACGTTGGGCGCGGAGAGTACTTGGATCGGTGACCATGTTTGGCAGCCTGAATCCTGCGAGTTTCTTGGACATTAGTCCTGCCCTTCAACGAAGCACATGTGACACACGTGGGCTCATTTTGGGCAAGTGATTTTGTTCCAGATTTCCTCTGTCCACCCAGCAGTAAAACTCGGTACCTGGTATGATACGATGGTAGTCTGAATTTGAACCTTGAACGCCTGACAGGCGACCGGTTGTATTCTCCACAGGGAGTGTTCTGTACTCGTTGGCCAGGGGTAATATGTCAGCGCTTTGAGCATGCACTGTGCATGGATAAATGCGTAATATAAATGGATTATTATTTAAACGTATTGGGGGAGTGTTTGTAACGCCTCGCTCAGCAATATTCTAGCTCTATGACGTCAGGCTGTAAATTGAACCGGACAACCAATCACCAAGTTATTGACACCAATTTTTGCAGCTGCACACTATGATGTGTATCAACCACGTTTGCGAGTCTATCCTACTTAACCTTCCCAGCCAATCGCTATAGTCGCCTTTTAGGGCTAGCATGGGATGTCAGTTCTGGTACGGATCATCATGGCTTTGACGAAGTAGTGATTCAATATAGCAAAATTAACTATTTATAACATTATATGCAGTCTAAGTGAAGATGTTAAATTTCCAGCTTGTCATGTACTTGTAAATGTATTCTGATTGTAAGTGGAGGGTCTCATTTCCTCAGAGCGATGTCATGTCTTTGAACCGTGTTTAAACCCAATCGGTCAGTCCACCGTATGAATCCCAATTTAAGGCATTCAAATAGTATTTATGCACATCTTCTCCATTTTTGCAGCCAACCAAAGAGGGTCGAAATGCAGCCACGCAATGACTACCCGTACGTATATGTCTGACTGACTGACTGAGTTTAGTTTTACGCCGCTTTTAGCAATATTCCAGCAATATCACGGCGAGGGACACCAGAAATGGGCTTAACACATTGTGCCCATGTGGGGAATCGAACCCGGGTCTTCGGCGTGACGAGTCAACGCTTTAACCACTAGGCTTCCCCACCGCCCCTACGTATATGTCGCTATCGCTCACTATTTTCAGTCTATTCCGTTAATGTGTCTGTGTTAGAAATATGTTTCAAGTTACGAGCTGTTCCACATCTTGTGTGTGTCATTTCATGAACTTACAAATTGTCAAAGAAATTGTTATGGGAATTATTTCTGTTACAAACTGTTAATAATTCAGTAATATCAGATGACATTTAAGAATGACCCAGACAGGGAATTGGTTCGAAATGTTCTAAGTATGAATTCACTTCCATCACTTTAATTATACACACACTTTCCATTTGTTTTTTGCAGCATGCGACAGCAGCCACCGCGCATTAACGGAGACTATAAAGACCCATTCTGGAAGTCTGGTGAGTAGACTGGGATCATGTCCGGATTGATAATTTAGTTTATTTTGACTTCATGGTGCATTGGTGAGTGTGTGTGGTCTACGCCGTTTTTAGCAATATTCCAGCAATATCCGGAGCACACCAGGAATGGGCTTCACACATTGTACCCATCTGGTGAATCGAACCCGGGTCTGATGACAGGCGAACGCTTTAACCACCGCATCTTTTACTTTATAACTAAACGTGATAAACTGAACTCTCCAGAGACGGAAATACAGGCTGTTCCTATGTCCTGCAGTAATTGGAGCTATGATTTTGTTTGTGACTTCGGATTTTATTTTCTGCCAGTCTAAAGTTTTGGTGCAGTATGTATTGAATTTGGTATATGACCGATAGGCAATAACAGAATTTAACACTTGTATCTCTCCTTCAGATGACCAGTACGAGAATGGTGCGATTGCGAAGATATTCTGATCTCTCCGATGGTCAGCACTGTCGATTCTGATATGGTTAAAGCACGAGAGACAAAACGATACACATGGGTGTCAAAGACCGTGACCACGAATCAATAAGTCCTGAAACTGTCTTGTGTTGTTAATAAATCACGATTCCTTACATGAATAATGTTTTGTGTTTTTACATAAAGTGATATTATTTAGCGTAGTGAACAGTCATTATTGCAGCATGTCTTTCCAAGCTCACAAATTCTGTTTATTCTGTAATGTTTATCGAATGATGAATAAATTTGTTATATAACTACAATATGAATGAGATCAAATTGACAGATTTCATTTCGGGATGACAACCACCATATGGCATGGTGTTCCTTCGGTTGTACCAAGGAGCGACTCCTCTGGTAACTGCCAGAAGAGTCCATGTTGAAGTTGTGACTTCCAAGTTGGGATTTGTGACATGGAGTCACGATGACACAATCATAAGCCAGTTGGAACGCCAGTTTCTTAGACGTGTCGCTTATTAGGACACGAGTGATATTGTGTGTGTGGATAGCCCAGTAGTCTGATGCGCCATTCCCTCTGTCGAGTTGCGTCTCTTTGACGTGTCAGGATCCGGTGGTCGTGGGTTCTCACTGCCAATGTGCCATGCTTATGATCCTTGGTTTGCCACACTGTATCCGTGGGTTCCACCAAGTATGTTGGTTTCTTGTTAAACCATAACTCAGCAATATTCCAGCTATATGGCCGCGTACTATAAATAATCGAGTCTGGACCAGACAATACTGTGATATACAGCGTGAGAATCGATCTACGCAATTGGGATACGATGACATGTGTCAGCCAAATCAGCGAGATGACCACCCGATCCCGTTAGTCGCCTCGTTCGACAAGTATGGGTTGGTGAAGATCAATTCTAACCCGAACTTCACAGTTACCGAAAGCGTGAACTGAGATACTGCTCCGAGAGTTGAACCAAACTCTTTGTGGGTCTGTTAAAAGGCGGGTAGAGGTGGATGGGAGAGGCAATGTAAAAGACTGGATAGTTTAAAGTGAAAACGTGGTGTGGAATCCCTTAGAAGGTAATAGTGAGTATGGTTTGACGCCGTTTCGGAGACTATACCTGCGATATCGGGTCCTTGTACATTGTACCCAAGTATGGAACCGAACCCGAGCCTTCGGTGTGACGACGAAATTCATCAAACACTAGGCTACCCCACCGCCCTGAGCAAATACTGACCACAATGCCAATCCTTCTTTTTAATAGCATATTGTACGAGCTTCCCATAAACATGGATACAAGTCTTACTGCCCCGAGCTTTAACTATTTAATAACATGGCTTCAACAGAGAGATGTATGAAATAGAAATTGATTTAGTTTCCTATTCATTACCAACGATGACTGATTATGAACTAAATTAAGCAATTTCCATTTGTCCACCTGACAAAACACGGTTGCTCGTCAATACTTATTTTGGACATTCAAAGGCCCGAATGATTACCGTTGTTCGAGCATTTTTCTTTAGTTGATGAGGTAGTAGGCGAGTACGTGTGAAATGTCTTCACGTGTTTGTCAAGGTGAAAAAGTGTCTTGCTTTTGCATGTGTTTGGGACGGTGCCAGTCAGATTTGCAGGACAACGCATCCTATTGCGAACATCTTGTAACCCTACTAATGGATAATTATTGATTCATGAACACATTCTAAAATATACGTGGAATCGAAAAACGAATTTGGATTTCAGCAGTGATTACTTATGGTTATAGAAAATATTTTGACCTTTGACCAAAAACATAAACTGAATATTAGAAAACCTGAATGTATTCATGATATATCTAATTATCTATGCAGAGCACCATATATACAATTTTGTACCAATACATAATACAAGGTAACAGCTCCTGTATACGTTTGTGATCAAACTTTAACTGTAGGGTTAAAGTAAGCACACTCTTGAAAATTTAGTCTGCCCAACCAAAGCCGTTGTTAAATGTTACGAGGCTGAAAACAGTCGCCGAAAGACTGTAAACGTTTGGCCGAAAACACAATCAAATCACAGGGCCTGCTTTGCAAATTAGTACAGTTACCTTTTGGATAGAAAATGTAAATGTTCCCGTAATGCGATTGAGAACAGCCGGGTTTTGGAGAATTATAAAGTATATCTTACAGTGAGTTTTCTAGCGTCTTTCGATATGACGTCACAACCATTTCCTAGATTTAATGGGTTCATGAACGCATAGTCTGAGCGAGTCTCCCAAAATAGAAACGTCTGAGAGGTGATGGTTTTGTTTAATCATGATACATTCAGAACAAAGACGAAATTTTAACTGAATGATGTTTGTCCTTGATGCTCGTTAACTGGTGAAGTGCACAAACAAAATTTGTAGCTTTATACAACATTGTTTACAAGACTGCATGAATACACCATTGAAAATTAAGAGCAGAATGCCGACTCCACCATCGCCTTCTTCCGTTTATCAACCGTATGAAGGGTTGTGTTAACATGTCACAGAAAGCTTGTCTCACTGTGAAAGCTTGTCTCACTCCGGATCTGATCATCTGTGAGATGAAGTCGATGGGGTGTGTGTCAAGGTCAACATCAACATGCGTCACAGGCACTTGCACAAGTGGCCAACATACTGCAGGAAGACTGACTGACTGACTGACTGAGTTTAGTTTTACGCCGCTTTTAGCAATATTCCAGCAACATCACGGCGGGGGACACCAGGATTGGGCTTCATCCATTGTACCCATGTGGGGATTCGAACCCGGGTCTTCGGCATGGCGAGCCAACACTTTAACCACTAGGCTACCCCACCGCCCCACTGCAGGAAGAAGATAGGACATTCGAGAAATGATGACGGCTACATATGCGGGGTTAAATGAACACCATCATTATATATTACATGTTATTGAGTCTATCTATTACGTCGACTGTGCTGTCACAGAGAGCATATCACCCTTCCAGTAACTGTAAAATTGGACACACTTGCTTCTTCTATATTATTTTCTACATGAAATATTACCTCGATAACACTAATGTGTTCATCAAGTCATTATAACATTTTCCATATAACTGTATAAGAGCTCTATTCTGGCATTTCTTCTTGGGGCGATGGAGTAGCCGAGTGGTTAAAGCATTTGCTCGTCACGCCAAAGACCCGGGTTCGATTCCCCACATGGGTACAATGTGTGAGGCCCATTTTTGGTGTCCCCTGCCGTGATATTGTTGGAATATTGCTAAAAGCGGTGTAAAACCAAACTCACTCACTCATTTCTTCTTCATAATTACTTGTAAGACAGGACGAGCTTACTACGTAGTTGTTAACTGAACATATATGCATGTGCTTACTTTGTAAACATAACCCTCGATTAAACACATCCAATACCTATTATAGCTCTTTCACAGGCACGTCTTCTTCTTAACACTACGTGACGTTTTATGCCCGCCTGTTGACGCCAGATATGGTCTCTATTGGTCATTCCCAGTGTGTTATCTGCCGATACGGCACGGTCACCGTATTGAAATGGCCAAACTATGAACTCAATACAGCACTATGGTAGACAGCACATTAGCAGACAGCTTATATGTACCAACCTATTTACATACAACAGACTCAAACTCTGGCATGTTATTCACACCAATGCTATCGGCCTTCTGACAATGAATTCAGACGTGTTTGTATAACGATATTTAAACACTATGCCTAATTATACAAACAATTGTGCAAACATATATAGTCAAACAGGCCCATAGGGTCTGTACATGTACGTTAAGGCCTACCCACGTCATTGCTAACATGAATAGAACCTGAAGCCACCCTGAGAAACCCTCGTAGATGGTGACGTTGATTAACGCTCATGTCCACCTGACAGGTGGAGGTAATTCTAGAGGATAAAATCACAACCATGATGAAGGTCCTAATAGCATCCGTGGTGGTGTTCCTCCTTGTTTCCTTTATTGCTCCATCATATCAGGTCAGTATTGTATGACATGTATCGCTGAAGTGTATATCATATCAGGTCAGTGTTGTATGACATGTATCGCTGAAGTGTATAACATCCGTGGTGGTGTTCCTCCTGGTTTCCTTTATTGCTCCATCATATCAGGTCAGTATTGTATGACATGTATCGCTGAAGTGTATATCATATCAGGTCAGTATTGTATGACATTTATCATTATAGTGTGTAGCATGTGATGACAGCAGGAGTATAATGAAAACCAAATGATCGTACAATGTCATTGGGGCGGTAGGGTAGCCTAGTGGTTAAAGCGTTCGCTCGTCACGCCGAAGACCCTGGTTCGATTCACCACATGGGCACAATGTGTTAAGCCCATTTCTGGTGTCCCCGCCGTAATATTGCTGGAATATTGCTAAAAGCGGCGTGAAACTAAACTCAGTCAGTCAGTACAATGTCATTACTATCATATGCCCAATTTGAAAGGTGTACCTATGTTATTGGTAGCCGTTAAACACACACTAAGGAAACATGGAAACTTGACATTTACGATTTAGAAACACCAGTTTTCATACAGTTTGGCTGTCACACTATAAAGGTTTTTAATTCAGTGAACTAACAGAAAATCAAAGTAAATTATTAAATGGGAATTGCTACAAGAATAACATCATTGACCAGTTATAGGCTTTTTGAAAGAGTTGGTGGGATTGTACTTGAGTGAGAAAATGAATATTTTGACACAACATGTCGCTTCAAACAGTATTTCTGTATTCGGCGGGTACGTTTCCGGGAGAAGACAGTACGTGGCGGGTGGCTTGATGAACGGTTACCAAAAGCAAGAGCTTGGGAATGTCATCAATAAATAAGAAAACCCGTTCTTGTGGTACCATACACACACACCATTTCATTCTATATTTGCCGCCAGATAGCTGGAATATTGCTGAGTACGGGGTAAACCTAAACTCACTAAACCTCATTCTAAATTTATTTGATTTTTGTCTGATGCCGCTAGAAAGCTTGCAGTGGTGAATTGCAAATTAACGGTATGTGTCCTTTAACCATGTAACGACCATTTTTAATTGCTTAGACATAAAGACTGACTATTGTTGTGAAACACATTTATTTCACAAACATGTTTCTCTGGTTGAAGGCAGGGAAGCTCTAAACACAGTAGTCGTAATTCAAAATTACCAACCAGATTGTCAGTTTCACCGCCCACTTGAGTGTTTGTTTACAGTCTGCCGTTACCTGACAGGGGTACAACTGTATGGCGTTGGGCTGTAGAATCGTACTGTATCATTATTTATTTAACTAGTTTTGTGAATAAAGGGTACAGCAGGAAAGCGAGGAAACTCTTTGTGGGAACACCTGGTGTCATCACTGTTTTTTTGTGGTTCATCCATATGATTTTCATAGCAAGTTTGTAATTTTCACCCAAAGCAATCTATTTCTGAGGATAGTCAAGGCTGGGTAATTGCTCTGATGTTACATAATATACACAAGTAAACCGCCTGATAGTACCCACAGTTGACTTTCTCCTTCTACCCAGCAACCCGTGATCTCCGGTGCACCAATCGTGGCCAACCTGCACGAGGAGACAGCTGTAGAGACCGAACTGGTGTGTATCAACTGTACCAGCCCTGACAACAAGAACATAGAGGTGTCCGACCAGTCCATCACACCAAGTGCAAGGTTCTTTGATGTCTACAGAATCGACGGCAGTCAAGGTTAGGCATCATCAAACACAGTGTTCTGTACTGTTTGATCTGAATAATCTGAAATTCCCATAATGATCCGCATCACATAATGTCCCTCGTTTAACATTGCCGGTATAAATCTGTAAGTGAGTGAGTTGGGTTTGACTCCGCTTTGAACAGTATTCCAGTTACACCACGGAGTGTCTTCGTAACGGGGCAGAAAAGACTAAACTGATACAGATCCAAGAATGCATAACCTTGGCGAAATCCATGTGCACGTGTATGTGCTGACACGCATAGACATATGATCGGGGCAAACTGGGATTCGAACCAGCCATCATCGGTTGCTGGCGAGCCTAAGGGACCAAACTCTCCAGACCTGCCGGTATAATATAATGATATAGAATCATATAGAATCATATAGAATCATATTCACCTTCGTTCCATACAGCTACTGTTGTACGTAACAACGACTGACTGACTGACTGAGTTTAGTTTTACGCCGCTTTTAGCAAAATTCCAGCAACATCACGGCGGGGGACACCAGAAATTGGCTTCACACAATGTACCCATGTGGGGATTCGAACCCGGGTCTTCGGCGTGACGAGCCAACGCTTTAACCACTAGGCTACCCCACCGCCCCACATAACAACGTATGGTATGGATTTACAACTTTACAACACGACGTTTCTGGGCTACGTCTTGCCCCTGCATCAGGTGAATTGTAGAACATAACTGACGGGGTTTTTCTGTGGGCTGATATCGGAAAGTCTCGAGAATTAGGATATTGTAAATGAACCGATTCGGATGTCGCAGCTGAAGTCTTTGACCGAGAATTCCGTTATTTCTATCGAAGACTGATTAACGGTTCACGCAAGCCTTTTGTGTTTCTAATTTAAGTGCAGTGTATTCCTCACATGTATGCTTTTATGTGATATCTCTGGCAGAGTTCTGCATCCGCTACCTGCCCAGCCAGGGGTCACCTGATTACAAGCGAGTTCGAGCCTACAACATCAGGATCCGGTGTACCGACAGCGACCAAGCCTTTGTTGAGGAAAATGTCGAGATAAGGATTCGGACAAACGAACCACCTCGCATAACGTCACCACTTTCAGGTTAAAATGTGTAACATCTACAACAAATTAGGAAACACAATACACTTTTAAAGCAAATTGAACAAATTATTATCAGTGCGAGCAATGCTGGTCGGTTGGGGCCGATGAAAAAACCAAAACGGTTTTTCTAAAAATAGTCTGAATGTTACAAATATTAGTCTTTTCAGCAGAGCTTATTGTATGACTGCGAAAAGGTTTTGGTCCTTTTAATAGATATTCATTACATGAATATCCAACTCTTGTCTTGCCTAAAACGCATATACGCAGTGCGGTTGCTGGTAAATTTACTGTTTACATGTACTGAAGACACAAAGCCACGTGACTCCTTTCGGAAAGAAATTTCTTGTGTTATCCCACATGTTAGCATGGACTGATGTGATATAAGTACATCCGTTTGTAGAAACCTGCTCGTATGATGCGAAGTCTACCGCAGCTGGGACAACCCTTCTAACCAGTCCCATCACCTTCAACGACACAGACAACGACGTCCTTACGTACACGTTGACAACCGTCCCCGCGTCTGCTGCAGTCAACTATGAAATAGTAAAGCCCAGTCCTGGTTACGGTGAGTCAGCTCAGTCAATTTGTTGATGGTGAGGTCGGTCACGCTGAGTCAAAGTCACTTAACTGGTTGATGGCGAGGTCGGTTACGGTGAGTCAAGTCACTTAACTGGTTGATGGCGAGGTTGGTTACGGTGAGTCAAGTCACTTAACTGGTTGATGGCGAGGTCGGTTACGGTGAGTCAAGTCTCTTAACTGGTTGATGGCGAGGTCGGTCACGGTGAGTCAAGTCTCTTAACTGGTTGATGGCGAGGTCGGTTACGGTGAGTCAAGTCACTTAACTGGTTGATGGCGAGGTCGGTTACGGTGAGTAAAGTCACTTAACTGGTTGATGGCGAGGTCGGTCACGCCGAGTCAAGTCACTTAACTGGTTGATGGCGAGGTCGGTTACGGTGAGTCAAATTCGTCAATTGGTTGATAGCTACGTCGGTCATAGTGAGTTAACTCAGTTAACTGATTGACGGCTATGACTGTCACGATGAGTCAATTATGTCAACTGGATTAGTACGAAGAAAAGTCCAAACAAATTCTGTATTTCTGAATATATATCACCGTTGTGATTATTGAAAATCAAGGTATACACTATTTGGCATCAGGGTTGGGCGACTTTTGATATCTCCACCACTACCACTGCCACTACCACCACCACCACGACAACAAAAACCCATTAAACAGACCTGAACTCAGCAGGATAAATATGGTTTATTGCCTTGAGTTGTGTGCTACGTGTTGATACAGTGCTTGCCAGCATTGATGTGCCGTTGATGTTTAATTTGTTACTTTCTGTATGCAGAGGAAATCCAAATTGCAGCTTTAAACAACCTTGATGTTGAATGTAACTCTGATGTCACATTCTACATCAACGTCACTGACAACAAGCACAACGCTGTCGGCCCTGTCGTCGTGTCCTGCACCGTAACTAACAGTACGTACAACACGTAATGGGCATTATTTTCAACTATTTATTCAAATGTTTTAAATGCTAAAAATGTATACAAATGATTACAAACATAGAATTATATTTGCAACGAAAACAAACACAATATAACACATATCAGTAACAATGAGGACGATAATATCCATATTTAGCGGAAAAGATCTTTAGGAGTGAGTAAGTGAGTTTAGTTTCACGCCGCACTCAACACTATGCCAGCTCTATGGCGGCGGTCTGTAAATAATCGAGTCTGGACCAGATAATCCAATGATCAACAGCATGAACCTCGATCTACGAAATTGGGATACGATGACATGTGTCAACCAAGCCAGCGAGGTTGACCACCCGATCACGTTAGTCGCCTCTTACGACAAGCATGGTTACTGAAGATCAATTCTAACCCGGACATAATCACGAATGCTATAAGACGAGTACTTACATTGCTATTATTGTTGCAATAATAACAGTAATAATACAAACAACAACTGATGCAATCATATTATTGAATACATTTTGCCTTATAATGTGACAGAGTACACGACACCAAAGATTGCGAATGTCGACAAAGAGATCTTTGTCAGCGAAGACACGGCCTTGGACACGTCGCTGATCACGTTCGTCACTGAACCCAGCGAACCATCTCTGACGATGAATTATGAGATCGCGACAGTCCCAGCCACCGCCGTGACTTTGTTTGACGTGACCAGTACACGTAAGTAGTCACGGAGTGAGTGAGACGCGTGTGTATGCCTTTGGAGTGAGTGCGTTTAGGTTTACGCAACACTCAGAAATATTCCAGCTATATGGCGGCGGTCTGTATATAATCGAGTCTGGACCAGACAATCCAGTGAGCAACAGCATGAGCATCGATCTACGCAATTGGGATACGATAACATATGTCAACCAAGTCAGCGAGCCTGGCACCCGATCCTGTTAGTCGCCTCTTACGACAAGCATGGGTTACTGATGACCAAATCTAACCCGGATCTTCACGGGTCTTATGCCTTTGGAACAGTATTTCGGACATATCAAGGTGTATCAGCTCAGAGCAGCACGAAAGCCCTAAATGACACCAGTCGTTGACGCTTAGCAATAGGGATGAAGCACGGGAACATCAACGTGACACATCAAGGATCATAATCTGGATCACACTGTCACACAACTGAGGGCAAAACACAGAGAGAACGTGCAAACATTGCATGCCATTTTCCTCTATAATTACAAGTAGATGCATTTGTTTTGGACAAGAATACATTCACTCTGTAAGGAAGTGTCAAGTCCCTTGTTCGTTTCTGTTTGTATTTATGTCAACTCTATTACATGTACCTGCCATATTGTTTCAGCAAATGACTTGAAACTAGCGGGTCTTCTGAACTATGAGAACACACAACAACGGAACATCAATGTCAGCATCAAGGCCGACAACGGCAAATGTCCGCCAGACACCCAGTACCTCTACATCCGGGTCACTGACGCCAACGATCTGCCCCAACTGGGGCCGAAAAATGTCACCAAAACAGTGTACGAAGGAACTGTAAGTATGCTGTTTACAACCTAGACAGTGTATGAGGTAACTGTAAGTATGCTGTTTACAACCTAGACAATATATGAGGCGACGGTAAGTATGCTGTTTACAACCTAGACGAGGGGACGGTAAGTATGCTGTTTACAACCTAGACAATATATGAGGGAACTGTTTACAACCTTGACAGACTGCAGGTGGGTGGTTAATACAAGTTTGAATCTGTATGCAAGTGGGCTGCATGACCTTTCACAACCAAAACAATATATTATGGACGGTTAGAATAATATTTGACAACCAAGACGTGCAAGGGACGGTTTTTATAATATTTGACAACCACGGCGTGTACGGGGCGGTTATTGTCATATTCTCCAAACAAGACGTATACTAGGGCGGTTATTATCATATTTTACAGCCAAAACGTGTACGGAGGCGGTTATTGCCATAATCTGCAACCAAGACATGTACGGGACGGTTTGTATGATAAAATACAACCAAATACGAGTAGCTGTTTCATTGTATTGTGTGATAAAATAACAAATCGATGTCACACATTCACCCTCCAATTTATAATACTATGGCGATGCTATAAGGTAACTTTGTGTTCAGATAACTGTCAATCCCGAGTTCACCATTACTGACGAGGACCTGGACGACTCCCACACATACAGCATCGTGTCGGGTAACGACAACGGCTACTTCACCATCGACCCGGCCACTGGCGTTATCAGCAGTTCTGTAGTATATGACGTGGATCAAGGAAGAATGCCTACAAATGCAACGCTCCTTGTACAGGTAATATGACACATAACACAAATAATGCAACTCAGTAAGTATTTAGTGACGTTGCTGAAGAGACAACAAAATAAGAATCCACACAAAACACATTTCGTTAGACTCACGAATACCTACGAATACGGATATGGTGAGGGCTAACCAAGGTTCAGAATCACAGCTTATCTTGGACTCAAACCCATCAGCCGATCCTGCTACTCCAACGGGACACAACTCCACATACGTACACTTTTATTTTCTGAAACTGTAACGTTAAGGCAAAGCTGTTACTAATCACATTTACTATTTCATTTGGGTCACTGTAACACAATTATGCTGCAGGTTCAAGACCGGAAGGGAGGCGCCATAGACAACGCTACTGTAAACTTGTACATCCTTGATGCCAACGACAACCCGCCTGAGTTCAGTGCCAACTCCACATCACAATCATTCTCAGTCAGTTCCTGTGGGCAGCTCGGGGCGACCCTCGGCAAGCTGTGGGCTGAGGACACCGTCGACTCCGCCTATCAGAGTAATAACTACAGCACCATTTTAGCCACATCCAACAGTTACCTGACCGTCACGCCGAGTGGCGACATCATCCAAAGCGGCCAGATCCCAGCAGGGACGGTATCGTCACTGACAGTATATGCGCAAGATAGAGGAGAGTACCCGGGCTTCCAGACCAGCCGCAACCCTGTCACCATCACCCTAGTTGGACAAACGTGCACGACGACGCAACCGGTGACCGTCGTTGTCAACAGCGGAACAGGAACAGGAACTGGAACTGGCACTGGTACTGGCACTGTCGTGAACACTGTTGCCACAGTTGCTCCGGCAACAACAACAACAGCAGCCGCAGCCACATGTACTGGTTTCTTCTGCGACGCTGGCAACATTGCCCTGACGGTCCTTGCAAGCCTGCTGGCGCTCGGTCTTCTCGGACTGCTGTCTGCTTTGCTATACAGATACTGCTGTAACAGACCCGTGGAGGTTAAAAGGTAAATGTTCATTCAGGTCAGCTTATGGTGTCACGTTATAACTTTGTGGACCCGTGAAGGTCCGGGTTAGAACTGATCTTCAGTAACCTATGCTTGTCGTAAGAGGCCACAAACGGGATCGGGTGGTCAGGCTCGCTGGCTTGGTTGACACATGTCATCGTATCCTAATTGCGTAGATCGATGCTCATGCTGTTGCTCACTGGGTTGTCTGGTCCAGACTCGATTATTTACAGACCGCCGCCAATAGCTGTCATTATAACTTTGTGACAGTTCATCTTCGTATGCCCTAAGAATTGTGGCCAAAAGAGGACTTCGCTTTATCGACTTCAATTTGGCCACGACAAACCGATAACATATAGCCCGATGAAAGGAGACAGAATAATTACAGCGCGAAGCGAGAAAGCGATATACTCTCGTGTATCACCATCGCTTTCTCGAGCCGTGCCATCTTGTTTCGCTTCCTTGTCTCGAGTCATCGGTTTATCGCAATTTAGCGACCGTAACTGAAAAAGATACGTGGATGTCCGCTCTTGGCCACAATGCTTAAGGTGTGAACAAGTTGCACTATAGTGAGAGAGGAACTGAATAGTTTTACGCGACATCCATCTACATTTCGTCTTTGTCACGGCGATCTGTCAGTCTAACATGTTGGCACTGAGAACCACCACAACACGAGCATGGATGATATCACGAGCAACAATACATTCTGTAGGAGGGGGGCAACATACGATCAACCAATCATTGTGTCCTGCCCATGTTATGAGTTGGCTCTTACTTTAAACATATCATCGTATCCCAGTTGCGCAGATATATGATGTTGATCACTGGATTGTCTAGTCCAGACTCGATTATTTACAGACCGCTGCCATATCGCTGGAATATTGCTGAGTGCGGGTTAAACAACAAACTAACATATGATAAAACAAGTAACAATTTCACCTCATTTTCTTCTTTCACCAATACTGAGATGCCCTATGGCGATTAATAATTTATTATTTACATTTTCGTATATTTTTATAAAAAAAATCGTTAAAGGCAAATGTGTAAACTAAACAAAATCTGTTTTGCCGCAGGACATGGACGCCGCCCAGGAAGGTGCGACCCATTACCCCGCCGACACCACCACCACGCGTAAAGTAAGATGGTTAAAGCTACGTCGTAACGTTAATCTAGTTACTGTACTGTACTGTTAGTTAATGTAACTCAACTAACACAATGAGGATACACGTCAGTATGTATATTTTACCAGAGCACCTTCATATGACTGTAATCAACAAATTGTGTTTTCATTACAGAACGCCTGTAACACCAAAGCACATCGAAATTGAACGTAAGTAGAAAACATATATGGTAAAATCCAAACAGTGAAACCTTGTTTATGAGTTTGTACCGCCCCATGTGAAATCTCTAATACTTCCACATTAAAGAAATTCTGTATATTTCATTAATCATATGTACAGATGGCATGAAGAAATTGTAATTTTCTCTCAGGGTCTTATGTGTGTTACGGTGAGATCGGGTAGCCTAGTGGTAACGCATTGACCGGTCACACAGAAGGTCCTGGTTCGAATTTCTATATAAGTCAATGTGTACGGCCAGTTTCATTCCATTTGTAGTCGCGGTGTTTTGCTATAATACCACGCTTAATACTAAACCTACCTGTGAAAATAATCTCACGATTTCTATTCTCTTGCAGGTCCTCCTTCCATTCAATACGTACCAGTCCCGGTCGCCCCTCCACCACCACAACTCATGCGCGTGCGCAGAATCGTTCCTGTGAAGCAACAGCAGCAGATGGTGAAGATCAAGAGCATGGTTCCCATGACCCAGAATGTCAGGGTCAAACAGTTGGTGCCCGTCCCAGGGAATACCACTCAAGCCATTGCTGCAGCGCCAAAGTAGACCAGCGTTGACATTACGTGTATATAATGCTTATATGTTATTTAATCGTGTTGTCGAGCACAGGATCATGTTTCACAAAGACAAGCGGATGTATTCTGCTGCTTCTGCCGATGGTTGATTATTAAACAAGTAAACCGGTTTACTGTTCCAGTTGCACGAAAAACCGCGTCGTTTTGAACACTCAAGCCGTTGGATAAGACGGCAGCCATTGCCTGATCGAACATAGTTTAATGTTTGTAAGGTTCAGGAACACTTTCATGTACAAGAGAGGGTAGACAACTTTTCACCCCAATAAAGAACCATTTACAGGGCCTCTTTCTCTTTAATAATTAGGTTATTTAGGAAGTATTGAGTGAGTCGGTTTTAAGCCGGTTTGAGCAATATTCCAGCAATATCACGGCGGGGGACACAAGAAATGGGCTTCACACATTGTATCCATGTGGGGAATCGCACCCGTGTCTTCGGCGTGACGAGCGAACGCTTTAACCACTTGGCTTCCCCTCCACCCCGAGAGAAGGATCGAGGAGATTAGTTTCAAATACACAATAAACAGAACATTTGTCTTCCGTACATTTATAATGTGTTTCGTCATTTCGTATACATCATAACACAGCTCCTTATCGACTATAATGATGTCAAATTTAGAAATCATTATGCTTTTTCAGATACAAAGGCTTTATAAAATAACGTTTTACATCTATCTCTTCCACGATAATTGTTTTTCAAGTAATTTAACATAGATTTAAGATATTGCCCTTTTACGTTACATAGTATTGCTTCTGGTTCCCATGTGTAAGTAATTCTGATACTTCTTATCCCTCATGTGAAAATGGAATTAAATAGTTTCCCTCCACTACGTGTTGTGTCGTAGTGTTATGCGTATCATTAAGCATCCGCTGTATGCGAAACCCATTATCGTTTACAATCCATACAAAACAAAGGGCACAGTTCAAACAAGATATAACCTAACACAGTACTGCGTACAGCAAGTTCTTCCTCGGAACTCTTGTACTCATATTTCCAGGGTATAAGTCCTTGAAGACTGTGACATACATGTAGGTTACTCGGTCACGGATCCACTAAATCTGAAACAAATATATTCTCCCAACAAGGAAACCCATAGGTAATAACGATGGATGAAAGTTCAAATATTTGTTTTTCAAATTAGTGTTTGATTGTCACAATTTCGCCATGATAATGCTGGTTTGTGTACATGGAACGAATGCACGGCGCGAAAACGCACCTTTGGAAACGTTTTAATGCTTTCGTTCGAAAGTATCAACTTGCATGAAAATGTCATGGCGAAAAGGTGGTTAGCAATGTGGTTTGCAGTTCTGAGGAAAAGTGAGCAAGGACATTGCCTATATAAGACCGTTTTGCGTTTAGACGGCATTGGCATGTTTTAGGTAAATGAAAGAATATCGTTATGCCGCGACTCACTGCTGTAAATCGAAACAGGCTGCGTCGTCTCAATCTGCAGTTGCACATCACCATCAGTCGTTTATAGGACCGGTATCAACAAGCTCATTCAACGCAAGAACGGCCTCGAAGTGGTAGACTTCGGATTACCACTGCACCAGGATAAACACACCCGGGGCCTTCATTTGCGGAATCGAACTGTCACAGCAAATGCAACTGCAAGTGCACTGTCTGGTTTAAGTAGTGTATTGCCGCAATGCATTCGTAATCGTTCACGAGAATCGTTCGAGCCGGAAGATACTATTTCAGCCCTGTGCTGCTACGACTACATCGACGTCGACGGGTCCAGTGGTGCAATAACGTTCGATTCTGGAATCTACAAAACTGGCGACGTATATGGTTCAGTGACGCGTCACGTTTTCTAGAGTACGTGTGTGGGAAGCTACACGTAGAACTCTAACTTTATGCGCCTTCAGGACAGTTTAATTGTTGATATAATGCAAGGCCTCACACAGCACATGCCACTGTACAGTATCTTCAAAATGAGAACATTACATTGCTTCCATGGCCTTCTATTTCGAGCTCAATCCCATCGAGCATCTATCTGTACGATGAGCTCGGCCGACTCGTACGTGAACGTCAACCGATGCCCAAGACGTTTGATCAACTGTCGCAGGCATTGCAAGAGGAATGGGCCAGAATTCCACAAGGTCGAATATAAAGACTTAATCAGTCCATGAAAAGACGGTGCAGAGCAGTTTAAGGGCTCATGGTGGACACGACAGATATTGAAGACAACGCCCAACTGAGAACGGACGCCTTCACTTATTTAACCTTAAGTTTCATAAGCTATTCACGTTAACAAACATTTGATCTTCTATACTGAGGCTCCAACTGGTCCATAATTACGTGTGTTGTCTCACTTTAAAGTTACCAGATTACATTCATGAAATTACACCTATGCGTTTCTTGTTTGGAAGAGTATACAAACATACAATAAAAACCTCGTTACATCGATCAACTGGTACAGGTTTCACTCAAACCCAAATTACTTGATTCCGATATAGTTCTAGCGTTTTATTTGCTACACATCCGTCCGTCATACATAAGTAAAGGTGGAACCGGAGACAACGCATTATAATTCAGACCTGACCCGTGTCTGTGCAATGTTATAGTTTTTTGCAAATGGATTCTTGACACACAATGCTGCCATGAATATTTCTTGACAGAAATACATAATTAAACATAAAGTAACAAAGTTGTTACAGGAAACAATAAAACTATACTCTCCAAAAAAAGAAACGCATATAGGAATTTCAACTGTATTTTTATGTTTATTTTGAAACATCTTGTAGGCTTTATGAGTCAATGAAATATACCGAAATTGCACACTGGGAATGCAGACTTATCCGTCTTTGGCACCAACTCGAGGAAGTCAGATTGAGTGTCACATGGAGACGTGTGGTGGCCACCGTGGGCATCCAGAACTGTACGGCATCGCCTCGGCATCGAACGAATAAGTCTCAGAATCTCGTGTTGCCCAATCGCAGCCCACTCTGCCTGTAGTGCCTGTGCGAGTTGCTGAAGTGTCTGGGGCTGAAGGTTACGGCGTCGCACCCGACTGTCCAGGGCATCCCACAGATGTTCGATTGGGTTTAAGTCCGGTGATCTTGAGGGCCAGGGGAGCACATTGATGTTGTGGTTCTGGAGGAAGTCTCTAGTGTGACGTGCTGTGTGGGGCCTGGCATTGTCCTGTTGAAACAACTCCCTCTGGCGATCAATGATTGGAAGAAGGTGTGGGCGTAGGATTTCGTCACAGTACCGTTGAGCTGTCAGGTTGCCCTGGATCATCACCAAATCACTTCTCCTACGGCAGGTGATCGCTCCTCACATCATAACACTTACCCGGCCGAATCTGTCCACCTGGGGAACGCAAGCGTCGGCGAAACGTTCACGTCGACGTCTGTACACCCGCATTCTTCCATCGCGTCGTTCCAATAGAAATCATGATTCATCACTGAGCCAGATTCTACGCCAATTCGGTAGGTTCCAGGCCTGAACGTTGGTGCACCATTGAACTCGATGTCGACGATGTTGTTGTCGAAGCACAGGGCGATATCTCTCCCAGAGCCGTGAAATGGTGCTTTGGTGAACATTCATGCGTCGGGCAACTGCACGTTGAAACTGGCCAGCTTCAAGCAAACCAATGGCGATATGACGGTTGACTTCACTTAGGCGTGGCATTTTGCGTTCGTCAACAATATTCCAAATACAGTGAATAATCGACAGACAGCGATCAACCTTTTATACCCATCATTGAGACTATCTGATCCCCAACTTTCACATGCATTGCATCTGAATTGTGTATTCTGTGACACTACACGCCGAAATTGACAATCATGCTGTTAAATACGGGTATTTTACGGATGGTGCTTTTTGTTGTGATGTTTCAAAACATAACACCATAGGACTCATAAACAGAGCAAAACCTTTTGTAAAATGAATTACGTTTTAATTCATTGCTACATGAAATTGCTATTTCCATGATGCGTTTCCTTTTTGGGAGAGTATATTTCATAAATAGATTAGGAACGTTAGGAAAAGTATTGATTTGTTCTCATATAATTACTTAGAATTATACAACATTACTATTCTTATCATATCCTTAAAATGAATTACGTAATTAAGTTCAATTAGAATATTTTAATTATTCATGTCATATTTCTTAAGGATTACCTAAGCATACATGGTGGTGAATGCAAAGTTCTAGGTTTCTCAAAGTGATAAGATGCATTTATATATGAGTGCATAAATATCGACACAACAACTGGCGTGTAACGCACTGGAGCATGTTTATCTAGATGGAATTATCAACAGAGTCTTAGTTTATTAGTATTTGCCCAGCCTTTACTGCGACGAGGTTAAAATTTCCCAAGTCATAAAACACGAGTTTCTATTTATCCCTGTTTCCTTTTTAAGAAATAGATGCATCAGCAGTAGCATCAGAAACGTCGACATTGTACGTATGTATCGTCAGTATTGATACATGGTTTCCATTGCCGTGTGAACCAAACTGTGAAATTGTTAACTTCATTTGTGATTGAAAAATCAATAAGAAAATTGTTCGTCAGATTCTGATTATGTGGAGAAGTACCTGAATAATTGAAACAGTTTTACTTTAATAACGGTAGCAACGATTTTATGTCTAGTATATCTCTGGTATACACTTCACTGATATTCAGCTTTAGAATATCTGATTTGCATACTTATAGCATGGGTTCTTATATGTACATGTTTTCATGACATACGCTCATATCTCGGAAAAATGGTAAATAGATACATACTTTAACACGTTTCGTCTTAATTCGTGGATACACACATCAGTATTCAAATTTGCTAATCTGATCGACGTCCAGCCATGGGGTTGTAAAGAACGTGAATGACACGGGGTCTTCTCGTTCACCCAGAAGCTTATACGACCAAATAACAACACAACAACCAATATAACACAGTGACTAATTAGCACGGGGTCCAAGAGTGCATGTGACCAAGGTTCACATGGGACAGAAATAAGAAGCGCATCTTTTGTCATTGAGGATTATCTCGCACCACTAAAAACAAAAGCTTCTGGGTGAACGAGAATTTTCGAATGACCCGCGTAAAGGACAATGAACACTATACGTCCCTATATACAAATCAGTGAATTCACTTCCGAAGTTTTGGTTTCAAT